CTACTACTACTACTACTACTACTACTACTACTACTACTACTACTACTACTACTACTACTACTACTACTACTACTCTACTACTCTACTAGTCTACTAGTCTACTAGTCTACTAGTCTACGTAACAAGAAGCTAGCCTTCCCCTCTTCGGATCTCCGCTCACCCAGGTCGGGCGTGCCCGTGGACCGCATCGAGCAGGGCGAATCCGAGCGGCTGATGCACTTGGAAGAGATCCTCTCCAAGCGCATCGTCGGTCCGCGGACCCGGCACTCGACCGAGACGACGCGACCGGAGGAATCTGCCAGGCTTGAGGTGCCCAAGCTGTAAGTGGGAATGGCTGAACTATGCTTTAGAGTCTGGCGCTACAATCTATCATGTAAAGAACTTAAGCACCAAATTCTTTATTGGAACCAACTAATATGCTTGAACAACGACCAAAAAACGACGGTTTTGTTCATCGACCTGAGGTTCGCAGAACACTACTCCAACCTTCTTTTTCCCGCGCCCGAGCCGTGAACGCTCCGAGGCCAAGACGAAGCCGTGAGCGCCTTGGCGCGCGCGGTACGCCGCGCGCGCAGCGGTCTGGCAGGCGCGCTCCGGAGGTGTTCGGTGTGGGAAGAGATCAGATGGAGATGGATGCAGAGATGACAAGGAATTTATTTTTAGAAAGTCCATCTTGATCATCAGAAAGTCCATCATGTTCCTTTTTTTGTTAGGATCTTTTTGGGGGGAGTGTATGGTGGTGTATGGTAAATTGGTTCCAGCATGCTCTTAAAAAAATTGTCTATAGGCTCCTGGCGCTTTCTATGATCCGGGGGCCAGGTACCTCCAAATCGTGGGAGCCAAGGTTGCCATCTTCCAATGGTCCTGGGACTCTTTTCAAAAAGAAAACAAAGAAAAATACACATAAAAACAGTCCATGGTTATTCTAGAGGCAGTGGTTTGGAGATGTTGGTCGTCATGAGATTGTCCACCGCCGATCGTCCTCTGCACCTTTCTTCACCACTGGCGTCTGCTCGAGCGGAGCGACGCAACAGCTGTTGCCTCGTCTTCGGACGCCGGTCCTGCACGCGTAAGAATCGGTGCACGCCGGTCCTGCAGAGTCCAGATCCCCAACAATACAATCCATGGGACTGGCAAGAAAAACACAGATGTGTGCGATGTGTGCTGCATGCATGTCAGATGTGGGCGGTTTTAAGATGTTTTATGGGTCAATATACGTAGGTCAATATTCCGTACACCCAGGAGTCAAAGACTATAAAAAAAGGCCTGACTAGACTAGAGGGCCTGAAAGGGATTTCCTTGTTCTTGAATAAGAAAAGTATAGTCTTTGGACTTCTAGGGTACATGGATTGGCGGGTTATAAATTCTTGACCCCTCGGAGAGAGGGTTTTCAAGGAGGGTTTGATCTGTTATTTTTTTGCTTTTGGTCGTGTGGTGTTTGGCAAGGCTGGGACGTGTTTTGGGGAATAGTAGGTGTGTTTGGAATCTGGCTCCATATTGACACTGAGTCACTGGATTCCACCGGATATGTTCTTTTTCTAATACACGCCCTCCTAAAGGCTGGACTCCGATGCCCATGTCGTTCGTCATGGAGGTTCCTTGGTTTTCTTCCACCTCTGTCCAGGTCAGCAGCGGCCCACGGCCACCTTCTTCTTTGCAGGACCTTCAGGCGCGGGCAGGGAAGGGCCGCAGGGCCCTCAAAGCGGATAGATTTGGGGGTGCAAGGTGCCGACCGAGTGGTTTGGTGGTTTCTTGGAAGAGTTTAGCTATATTCTTTACCTTGGGCCCTGTCCTATTACCGGTAAACCAAAAGTCAGAAACAGCAATCCAATTTCATCAACTTTCACTATTTGAGAGAAAGGCCTGCAACTGAACCATCATCATCATCATCATCATCATCATCATCATCATCATCATCATCATCCACTGTTACTGGTAGTGGGATAGACACAACAAAAGATCCCATGGAAGTCAAAAGATCTATTTTTCGATATCTGGTACATGAAAGACCATTCTTTTGATGCTCTTTGACGCCCAGGGTATAGGCAAGAAGATTTTACTTCGAACAAAACAACAGATGATCTGTGTTCATCCAGCTTTTCAACGTACATATCGAGCTTATCTCAGCATAATCCAATACATACCGGACTTATTTAAAGTGGTCAGCCAGTGATTACACGACCTGTAACCTTCGATTCGGCCTCCTGATGGTTCGGGTGGGTTTGTTCACGGATACGATGTTTGTTGCTCACCAAAGCTCACCAAAGGGCTCAGAACTTGGCTTCTCACCTATGCTTTTAATTGCGCGTTGAGCAATTCAATCCCTTGCAGGACAGCTTATGGTGCCACCCACTGACAGTCACCTCAAAAAACGATGGGTAAACCTGAACGCTGAAAAGTACATGAACGATGTGTGTGTGTGGGTGACTTGCGTGTTCTGGGTATGGACGACTTCCAAGAAATTAGCAAGCATAAACCAAACAGAGGAATGTGGAAGTGCTTTGTAAGACGGGCAAAAGAACAACTGTTTGATCGGGAATTCCGTGTTTTGAATCGTTTTCAATCGTTTTCAATGGTTTTCACTCTGTTCATTGGCTCAAGGTGAACAAAACCCATTGAACAGGAGAAAGCGGTGGGGGATTTCTTCGAAGAAGACCTTCGAAGGGTCGGACCACATGGCACAATGGGAGGACTTCAATGGACTTGACGCCGGCGTCGTAGAGGTGAAGGTCACGACCATGTTGAATGGAAAGAACAGCCGATACCATTTTGCAATAGACCGCTACGCCATTTTTTGGAGACGTGAAGCAGAGGCTGAGTCTCAAGTTGGCACGGAAGTTTCATGTGCCTCGGGCGATATAAAAAAGACAAAAAAATGTCCGATCGATATTGTTTTGACCCGACGGAAAACATGTATGTTCCCAAACAAAAGAGTGTGGGAAAAAAAAGTTTTTAATTGATCAATTCAATTGCCATATTGGAACAACCAATTGTTTCTGGTTGTTTGGGTTTCCAGGTATTAATTGATCATTCAATAATATCTTTTTCATTCTTTTTCAACTGATACCCACCTTTGTGGTTGGATCGCGCTGAGCCCTTGGAGGTGAACCCCTCAGACTTGCCGCAAATCCCACCACAGATGGTGTTTCCCCCCCACCTTCCATCTCAGAGGAATCCACAGGGAAATGGAGCCCAAGAGTTCTGGGTGAAGCCTGGTACAGGCTAGCGGAGTCGAACCCTTGTTAAGAAAGACACGGCTTATATCTTAGATGTGCAGCACAGGGCACCATGCAGTTGGGTCAAGCTGCAAGGTGGAGGTGCCCTGCAGTCAGCTCCTCTCGTACAATCTGACTCGGACTCGTGACGCGCCAAACGGCAGGGGGTTCTGAAGGAACGTCGCACGGGTGAGGGTGGGATCCGTTCGGTCAGGAGATGAAGTTGATCCATCGCAATAAAGAGCCTGACATGTTCGAGAAGCTCAGCAACCTTCGCAACCAACGCGGTGTGGTGGAACTCACTCTGGTGCTCACCCGGAATTGTCGCTGGTGCAATCAGTCCATTCCAGACGAACCGGAGACACTTCGCACTGCTCCGCGAGCGGCCGGTCTTCCAGTCTTAGACACCAGCATCGGAGACTTCTGTGGGGTGCCGTGCTATTCCATCATGCAGCATGAGCTGCAGGACCTGCGAAAAGTATCCTGCTCGACTTGACTTGACATGACCTACATGACCTGACCTTTTCGGGGGGTGAGGGGTGATCCCGGTGATCCCCAATTGTAGATCAGAGCAGAGCAATGACTTCCAAACATTCTCGTGAACGAATTCACTTTCTACAGCTCTCTACATGCAAAGGGTGTTAGTAAGTAGCTGTGAGTTTTTTCCAAAGACGTTGGGACCGGTGCCCATTCACCCCAGACAGGAGCAGGCGAATGTCTTTTACGTCTTCGGCGTTCCCCCTCCCAAGCACTACCAGTCCGATCCTTGGCTGGATCGCCGGTACTGAGCAGAGTAATTGCAAGCAGTGTGAAAAGCCTGACCATCCAATGCAAAACCTCCAGGTCAGTTCGAAATTCCCTGGAATTCCTGGGATGGTACAAACATGTACAAAGCGTCTGGAACTGTCTGGAGGCTTGTACAGTTCAAAGCAACTGGCCAGGTAGAATTCTTTTGAGCGAGGCTCCTCACATGCTTGCGACCTGTACGCAACCTTTGGACGAGATGTGGAAAAAGGAACACCAAACTTGTGGTCAGGTATAGTATTGGTGGTCGACCAAACTATATTTAGGGTCTGTCCGTTCTTACCTGTAACAGGACCCGTAAACAAGCAAGTCACTATTTTTGGACAAGGCCTCTACTAAGCATCATCATCATCATCATCATCATCATCATCATCATCATCATCATCATCATCCACTGTTACAGGTAATAGGATAGACCCAATATTGTATACCTTCAACACCTCTTTGGGGATTATACAAGTTCCTCACTTTCCGACAAGTGCAGGTCGAACGTTTGGTTGATTAACCTTTTGATAGTCTCAAAACGGCTCAGCGGGGGTCAGTTGTATGCTATGCAAGGAACTGGTCTTGGCCTGGTAGTTGGGTCTACGCGCGGTCTATTCCGCGCGCTGAAGCGCTGGGAACTTGGTCAGAGCTTTTTTGAGAGCATCCGAGAGTGTTTTTCCGTGTGAACATGGTTTGCTCGATGAAGACTCCTCGCGATGGAGCAGAAACAGATCAAATTAGGACCGAAATGAGGCCAGCCAAATCGAGCCACATTTGGCAAAACCAAAGGCCACTTCAGACTCCGAGTTCACCATCCACTCCAGTCAATCGTGAGGGATTCTGAAAGAGATTTTGCGCCAGGTGTGGGAAAAACACAGCTCTGTCGTGTTTTGGCAGAGGAGTACTACGTGGATACCAAGGCCGGCACGCTGGGCCGCCGCTCTTCCGCGGCTTTGTTCGTGTGGAGACGACTAGTTGGTCATTCCACTCAATTTGCGGCACCTCACCATCGACCTGCCACTAAAATCCAAGATCTGATTTACAGGTGGCAAGTCACCCATCTGAAACATTCTGAAACATCTGATGAGAAGATGTGCCTCAACACCCACTTCCACCCCAACAAACACTTGGAACTGTCCCGAATTTCCCCAGTCAGTCCCAAGCACTTCTTTATGTCTTCAGATGTCTTCAGGAGAATCTCCAGGTCACTTGCCTATCAGGACCTGTGACCTCCTGACCTTCCCCTGACCTTTCCTCACCTTCTCAAGTTTCGGTCAGGAAGGAGTCCTTGGCGGGTCGGACGTCGTCAATCTCCGTCAATCTCCAGCCATCCAGGTGGTGGCCAATCACTTACCCTAAGGGTCCAGGACCATCGGTTGCTCGGAGGTCCTGTTTCAGGCCCTAGGCAACGACCATTCTCAGGAAGTACGAGGCCTCACCTTACTCACCTCCGACCATCCGAGCAACGGAGGGTCACTGGACCCTTATAGCACGACCAGTCGTCACTCTCTCCCAGTCTCTCTCATCCCCCATTCACTTCGTCCTACAGGCCATGGTCCGCCTGGACATGAGCGAATTCTCGGAACCCCACAGCGTGTCGCGCCTCATCGGCGCGCCGCCGGGCTACGTGGCTCGGCAGAGACGGGGAGGACGAGTGGAGTCTGGAGCGGGTGTGGACCCGAAGGGCCCCAAAAGAGGGCACATATATAGTGGTCCCCTAAATTAGATAGAAGTTCGTAGATCCCTTGGAAATGGTTTCTATTTAGGGATGTAAACCATATATGAATGTGTATCGTACTGTATCTACCTTGGGAGTCCAAAACGATTCGAAAGGTGACCCAAAAGACATGCACAAGACATGTCCTTTGCACCTCAGTGGGGCTTTCTTTTTGTCTTTGCATCACTGGGGAAACTCTATACATAGCTGCGAATCAAAGAGGCGCAGTGGCTCGACCGATCCATGGAGTGGTTCCGGGTCCCAGAATCGGAATGGCAAAGCCCCTCTTTCGGTCTCAGGTTGCCCCCCCGTTTGTTGTGTGTTTGTTTTTTTATCTTCAACTGCATGCCCTATCATCATCCCCTGGCATGGTGGGAGCCCTATTTTTCTCATGGTTTTTTTCTTCCCACCTTCCGCACCTCCGCCGTCCCTCCCCCCCCGCGAGTCCGAAACGGGACCGCGCGGGACGCTTCCGCGCGGCGGCCAGGTGGGCTACAACGATCCCCGCAGTGGGCAGTTGACCGAGGCAGTGAGGCCGACCTGGTTCGCAGACTCCGCTCGGCTCGGCTTTGTACGGAAGAAATGGTTCAAGACCTGGTGTTGATAGATGTAATGTATTGATTGTCCCGAACTGGGTATACCCCGAACCTGGTGAAGAGATGTTATATGTTTTGTTTTTTTTTAGGTTCCTGGGAGCTGCCAAATCCGCACATGGTCTGACCCGCGTGGTCCAGCGTGCCGAGCACCTAGCCAGTCCACGCTATGGGACTTTCACACGACACGCGGGGCGAGTTCGATGGCCTATCATTACCCAGACACTCCATGGGACTGCCATATATGCCTACATTGACCTCCAAAACCACCCCAATGTAGGTAAATATACCATACATGGAGTGTCTGGGTTAGGGTCTTTTGTTCTGGGATTTAGACACCTCATGGACAATCATTGAATACGTATATATATATATATAATAGACCCCCAAATAGACAGGAGTTCGTAGATCCCCACTAAAAATCGTCTTAGGAAACCGTGCCACTGTCTATTTGGGGACCACTATAAATCTATGTAGGGCTTAAACTACTTCCGTTTAGAAGGTGAGTGGGGTGGAAAAGGAAGAACAATCATCTTAAGCAGAAACGGGACTCCTTGGTCCGACACGGATGATCCACTCTGAGCTTGTGGATCCCAATAGAGCAGAAAAAAGGGCAAAAGTGACCCCTTTGTAGCAAAAGAGTGTCCCAGGATGGTCTTGACCCAGGATCGACCCAGGATGGTCTTTGAATGTCCCAATAGAGCAAAAGAGTGTAAAAATGAGAACATCCAGGACCTTCAAAGTGACCCCTTTTGGATCCTTTTGGAGTCTCCACATGATCTCTCTTTTGAGAAACATCAATTGAAGCTGGTTTCTGTTTGGATAAAGGCCTGCCTGCAACCTAACCCTCATCGTTCACAGTTCTATAATTCAAACCCTATAGTCATGGGAAATGTTTATCGGAACTCATCCCCCAACACTCCAGACGCATTCCCCCTCCGCGTGGTCCCTATAGCGTCACGTCGCCCTCGAAGGCGTCGGCCCTATAGCGTGGTAGTCCTCGACGAGATCGAAAAGGCCCACGCCGAGGTGCGGTGGGTTTTGGAACCTCTTGGGCATTCCAGGGTGGGTGGGTTTTGAGGGTCTGGAGCTGGGCGTGGAGTTTTTGGTTCCTTCCCCTCCTGAGCCCAAAAAAGGGAATGGGCTTCGAGTCCATGATGGAGGTCTTGGACTCATCAGATCTCAGCGTAGTATGATCAACCTACGAGTAGTTTTCTCTTGTTCTCAGGCGTTAATCCTGGTACTCTTAGGCGTTCATACCTAGGTGGGCGTGTGACATGTGGCGATTGCTTTCAGTACGCAATATCTCATGTGTGTGAGAGGTGCACTTGGCAAGTGATCCAGCGTCCCTCATGCCCTAGCGCATGCCCTGGCGCGGTTTTGCCTGCTGTGTCGACTTGGCTTTCTTCTGCATGGCTCCTTTGTTCTTTGCAGGATTTGCTGCTCGGGCTGCTTGGATTTGCAGCTGTTTTCCTTCCCAACGGCTGCTTCCTGGACGTGTGTTCCCTTCCCCCCCTCTTCCAGCTCTGCCAGTGCTCTGCCAGTGCTCGCTGGTGCTCGCCTGCGCTGCGCGGGGGCTCGGAGTCCTGGAGATCCGGCAAGCCACGAAGCGGATCGAACCCACGTGGAGCGAAACCGGAATCCTCTTGAAATCCTCCCAGAGGATCCATGGTGGCCTACATAGGTGGCCTACATTCACCACCCAAAAGCCATCCAACCGTAGGCGATAGGACTTGCTGAATTCCATCAGATCGTGGGATGAAGGACTCCTCCGAAGCCCCACGAAAACCCCATTCCGAACTCCGCTCCACGGTCCCACACGTCCCACGGTCCGGCTCCGCGGGAGCCGCCGCGGCTCGTGCTGGAGCGCGTCGCAGGTCTTGAACCTTCTTCTGCAGGTCATGGAGGATGGGCGCTTGACCGATGGCAAGGCGCGGGAAGATGTGTAGAGTAGAGGGGACGGACGAGGGGACCACGTGGAAGAAGACGTCAGACAGTGATGAAAACACAGTGGAAAACACACGCGAAAACACAAAACAACAATGAGATCACATGAAAGCACAAGCACGGAAATCAATCATGTGTCAACACATCAACAATCATCAACAGCTTGATGTGACTTTGTCTCAGAGTCAATGCCACACAGCCTAGGTCTGCACATGTGACTAAGATCTACATGGCAATAGACCCAAAGCTTTATGACTTGGTTCTTCAAAGTGACCTTTTGATAACCTGGTTTGAGGTCACTTAAGCCTCCTAAGGATCACTTAGGAACCTTCGAAAGGTCCCTTTGAAGAAGCTGGAATGTAGATCGTTGAATAAAAATGCCACTCATTTGGATTGAATTAAACTCGGTTGTATTAATCAGCAGTCTACACGATGATGCGATCGCGCGGAGAAAGCCCACCGCAGATGTTCGGGGCAATGGTGTACATGAAGCGAAACAAGCGCTTCCGAGGTTCTTTCAAACATCAACCTGGAACCTGGAACCTGAATGACCTCTATTTTGGACCACCAGCTTCCTATCAAAACAGAGGTCAAATGGGTTCCAGGAACACACGATACAATGTTGTGAAAGGGGGTGAGTTGGTGGACAGTCTTTTGATCTATGGCAGTTTTCCCAACCTTTGTGACAGTTTCATACAGCTCTGCAGGGCTGATTTTTGTTGCCATAAAGGATTTGGATGTGGGATTGACAGATGTTTGGATATTGTAGTAGGACCCAGGGTTTGCGCACCATTGGTTGCCATGTCTTGAAGACATCAAGTTTGGGTCGCCCGCATAGACCCTGCTCCCAGTCTCAGAAAGTGCTGCTGTCCATAGGCGACGAACTCTACCCTCAGAAGAACACATCACATGAAAGTGGAGTGGAGTAGAGTCGACTTCAACTTCCTATTTTCCGGACCATTTTCCATCTGTCTATCTTCCTGAGTCAGAGTCCATGAGTCTGGGATTCATTCTTGTTGTAGCAGAAGACCGATGCCGAGGTCACCTCTCGGAATGTACTCCTCCACAAACTCACATAGAACCTGAGAACTGACCTGTGGAAGACGATTTTCCGAATACCAACCCAGTAGTTTGGGGGTTCGTGGGCCGAAAAAGCAGGGGAGTAATCCCTACCGGTGCGGCCGCAGGGGAGAACAGTGAGCTTCAACCATTCCATCATTGCAGGGGCACTCTGACGATTGAGTCGTGAACGGATCGCCGTGCAAGACTGAATCAACACACAGCATTAGACACGTGTTCGGTTCTGGTGAGCACATCCTCCCTTCTTGTAGGGTTGCTACTTTCTAGCGACATATATTGAATCAAGATTCGGAAGCCACACATCTGAGCTCCCTGCATCTACAGATGAGAGAGGAGAGTCAGCTAATTGCATTACTCAACAAGAGCTTTTGATCCACGAGGATTCCACCAGGAGTATACACCGACTTTGCAGAACAAAAAGCACCAGAACTCGGATGAAACGGCAGAGGCCCTTTTGGGGCCCTATAGGATGTGTGATGTTCTTCCAATTGTTGAGGGCATCTTCCAGTTTTCCTGAGTCTAAAGAGAGCATCCCGATTGGAAGGGTGCTGTTTCAACAGCACAGCCTTGTTGACAAGGGTCGGCACAGCCTTCTTGTTGGAACTGGTCCCACTCATTCCACCATCAAATGGTCATTTAGATGACACTCCCGAGTGACTAACATGGACCCGGGTCGAATGGCACTCTCAAAGACCGTGGTTTCTTCGACAAACCAGTGGTTTTTAGATGTTTTTAGGGTCCATGTCCATGTTAGTTTTCGGCGGGGTATCCACAACATCGCCAAGGGCCAATCAGATCCAATATAAGTTTGTTCTCTTTCGTGCTCATGGGTTGATGGGCCGAAGGGCTTTTTTGTGCAAGATGATTCTGGTTGAATGAACAAGCCCTCCAACGGCCAGAGGTCATGACCTCCAACGTCGGTAGCAAGGAGATCTTGCAACAGGCAGGGGCACTGGTAGCCTTTCCAGGGCTGAAGAAATCCTGGCGTGATCAGATGAAAGAAGGCGTTTTTCTCTTCCGAAATATTCCGAAATGAACATAAATAGGCAAGAATGAGGTAGACGTTTGTGGTATGGCCCGGTCTCAAGTTCTTGTAGCATGCCAGTATAGTGACAAAATTGATTTAAAGCTAATGTCCAATTTTCTTGAGGGACAATCTCAAGGCTAGGACTGGAAAGCGGAGTTGCGCCACTCAGACAATCATTAGAAAGAGTTTGCAGAGAATGCGAGATCCCACAAGTATCTAATTTGGGTATATCAACGGTATATCAGATATCAGTCCAACACTCTTCGTCACGCTACATGGATCTACATGGTCATGTTCCTCGAGGGTGTGAAGAACACAGAGCCGAGCCCTATACGTCAATTTTTAGCTGCATTCCGAGCTGTCCACGGTGTCCATGTGGACCATCTTCCATGCCGAGAACGGTGTGGAGAGTGTGTTCCGTGGCCGTTCTGAAGCTCAAGCTGTTCGAGTATGGCGGGTCCGAGCATGGGCGATCGATTTCAGGCGGGAGGGCAGTCGTCTGAAGCAGCCGATCCCGTGTGTGGTGAGTGGGCATAGGAGCGCAAGGGGGCGGAGGAAGAAGGATGAAAAAGGAGGGCAGTCAATGGTACTTGGATGTATATACTTGGTATGAATTCCCTTTGGGCTTCCAACTGCGGTTGATTTAACAGCCTTTACCGAACGACAATGATTGATTTCCTAAAACCTTTAGACTAGAAAACCAGGTCAACCTTTCGTTGAAAGGTCTTGGTGGAAGGCCGCGGAGATTGTACTCCGGATCCAGGTTCCAAAGTTGTTATACACTACTTACTTCTTCAAGTAGCTAAGTGGGGGTTCTGCACAATGATATGATCCTGCTCTTGGATTTGTTTGTATACATGCATGTTTCTATTTTGCTTTGTATCCGTCGCCGTACCTTGTTTGTGATAGTAGATATTTTAAAGTCTACCATAGTCTGCCATTAAGTTCACAAACCTCCAGTCTGGATTTAATGTTGGATGCACCTCCGATGTGTCAGCTTTGCCATGTCTTCAAAAATTGAATGCTTGAGAATTCCGCTGAATTCACAGCAGCCTCATGCAGCCTCATGGTCCCTTTTGCAGGTCCGCTTGGCCGACCGCTGGGAAGACTACGACGAGCCAGAGGACGCGGAGTCGCAAGAGGTTCTACAGGAGGTCATGTATGCAAATGTTCTATTAGAATATCTGATGATGAGGTCGCGGTCATGGTACTATAGCCCACGCCACTTGGGAACTATGGCGCACCGGCCAACCCTTCACCGGCCAACTCGATCCTCTTGTGAATCCACCCAAATTTACCCATTCTGCACAACCATGGAAGAGCTGCACAAAAAATAAACGCGAAGTATCAAGCAACATGTTACAACTTGGAGTCGCCCCCCGCCCAGTAACAGTATAACAAACCATTTATCAAAAAAGATACAAGATGACCCGCAGAAGCCAGACGAAGCCCGGCACTGGTCGACCAATTCACATCCAGAATCCAGGTACCAGCCAACCGACAGGCATCGACCACGGCTCCGGCATCGACCACGGCTCCGATGGTAAAAAAACACCAAAACAGAAAACATCACAAAAACAACCATCCCTTCCTTGCATCGATTGGGCAGGGGCAGGGAAGTCCTCGTGCTGCCAACCCCGAGCACCGAGCACCGCCCCTGCCGCGGCCCGTACCAGACCCCGACCAGACCCCGACATCGGTCAGCATCGGTCACCGGTCGGCCGTAACCGAGAGCCACAAGGAACGAAGCCTGAACCGAACCCGAAAACGCCCCCGAAAAAGAAACGGCCGGATTTGTATAGATGCGAGTTTACGCACGAACGGTGTGGATGTTACACCGGATGTTCATCTCACCTCTCTAAAGAACCGTCCTGTTCTTTCAGACGTGGAACGTGGGACCGGTGTTCGGTTCCCAGCGCACGCGCACATGGGCTTTTTTCTGCGGGTTTGAAACGCGCCAGGATCAGCTCTTAAAGCGAGCTTATCTCGCTGGCTTGGATGAGATCAGCCACAGCATGAGGGGCCGAAAATATCAGGCCTGGACCAGCTAAACTCCGGAATGTGGGGCTTATAACTTATAACAAAGTACAACGTTCTGTATAGACAATTTTCCACCAAACTCCCTTCTGCACAGGTGGACTTCCGCAGCATGCGTCAGAAGAACCTCCAGAGTGGCAAGCTACGCCCGATCCGAACACCGCCCACGTGGGTGGCGGAGGAACGGCTGGGTGGCGCTGCATCGCCGCGGTGCTTGGCAGTGGTGGTGCCTGAAGGTGGCCCTGGCAGCTGCATCTATGTGACTTGGAAAGACTAAGAGTTCGAAACACCTACGGATGATCTGAGACTGAGACTGGACGATTATGCCGCCCCATTCACCCTTCAACCCCCGCTTGTCAACCATCCCTCACCGTGGCGACCCAAATGGTGGTGCCACGGCGCACACAGATGTGCATCAGAACTTGATCTAGGTGAGCAGGCGACCGGCTACGCCGTATACCTTGAAGTAAATCTATATCCTTATATTCATCGAATATTCATCGAATATATTTCATGAATATTAATGATGAGCGACTGGAACTGAACTGCGCGAAGTCAGTGCAGGGTGAGCTCTAACTGTGCGTGGAAGGGGCCGCGGCCAGGACCGCCCGGGCTCCAGCCGCGCGGTGCGTCGAACGGCGCGGAGCCGAAGCGAGGTGCCCAACCCCGACCGAGAGGGCGACTTCCTGGCCGTGCAGGCGTCCAACCCGCGAAAGAAGCGTCCGCCATCCTGGCCAGACATGGTTGGGTGTGGATTTGAATAGGGAGACACCTGGAGACACTGGGTAGACTGGTCTATATTCCGAACCTTCGTCAAACTGGAAGGTCTTCCTTATTGAAATGTGCACCCATTTCTAGCAATGTGTGGCCAAGTGGATGAGGGTGGTTAAGTTCATCCAAGAAAACCAGAGACTTCAATTTTTCCAAGACTATGCGCATTGTAAAGTAGGATCTCGGGATCTCTCATGATCTCATGCGAAGTTGTTGTAGCTGCCGTCATGTTTCTCAGATTTGTTTTGATGCCTGTCGTGTGTCAGGATCCTACTAGAAAGAACTCGTGCAGGAAAAGACACTGACAGAATGCTCAGTTAGACTTATATATAGTAGCAACTGGTCACTGCATGTGACTGGTCGTTGCACTCTTGCCCAAAGTAGGGGGAACGAAGCAAATCTCCAAAACAGTAGAGAGGTCCTAGAGTCCTATGATGTCCTATGCTATAATAACTATAATTACTGTGTAGTTTACTGTGTATATTGAACATCATGACCAGTCTACGAAATCCATTGGATATCCATTGAAATCCATTGACCATCCATTTGAAAGAACCGCCCGAAGCGTCGTCCTCTCCACCGACCGCTCTCGTCCGCGTCCGTGGTCCAGGTCCCTGGCTCTGCACGCGTGGGCCACTCCATGTCGCTGGGAGACGGAGAGACGGGGCCGAAGCGCCGAACAGGGCGAAAGGGGCGAACAGGGGCGCTGGGACGGGATCTGAGAGGGTGTTTCGAAATGGAGTTGTGATGGTGTGGTGTGATGAGTATAGTAGTTGTGCTGTAGTTGCAGTATACTAGTCTTGGTTCCATGTGACGGGCGCTTTTGAGGTGATTGAAGTGGATTTCACTCCAGGGGGGGTCGGAAAAAATACAATTATATTAGATTATATAAGAGCAGTATAGAGTCTACAGAGATAGTTGAGGGATGTTAAGGGAATTAGGATTGTGACGTCGCGACGTCTTCCTTATAACTTATATACATCGTGGTAGCAGGGAAGGCGTCGTGACTCAGCAGGCCTGGGCGAACGGACCCCCTGGCTCCGGCACTTGAGGGGTGGGAGATGTTGTTTTGAACGGAACTCGGCACTTGGAAGAACAACTGCTGCGAGCTTGGAGCCGGAAGACCTCCAAAAGAACGCCTGGTTTTCCCCGGGAGGAGCCAGACACACTGGAAGGGCGGAACAAAAATAGGCAGGCCACGGTGTCATGGTCGCCTACGATAGGTCACGATAGGTCACCATACAACCTCTCACTGGCAGGTGTCCATTCATCCATAGTCCATGGGGTTGGAATAGTTACACTGCAGTGATGGTTTCAGAATGTTTCAGACATTTTTATCTTCAACCGTCTTCAACCTTTTTAGGGATGATTGCTCCCCACTGACTTGTATGTTTTCCAGCTGAGTTGAAACCACCAAACCAGAAAAATCCATTGGTTGTGGGATGAGAATCTATCGTATGACTTCTTGATTCTCGCCTTCCTCTTCTCGACTCTCGCCTACTGGCTCTTCTCAGGGTGAACCAACCACCACTGAACCCAGCATCCACACACATGCCAAACAGCTATACTTTATAGTCCACCTTCTGAAACCAATGCTGGCCATGCCACACCATCAACTCAACCACCTTCAAAAATTGCACAGACACCAAGAACGCATCCAACACACATTCGATCCGATCGCAGCCCCTGAACTACATCATATGACATCCGCGGAGTGACCTTCCAGGTTGGTGCCCCTTCCACCGTCCACCTCGCCGTCCACCTCGCCGTCCACTGCCTTCACTGCCTTTGCGCCCTCGGCACCGCCGCCGACGCCCTCCACCGCCGCGGCGCCGTCGGCGCCGCCGCCAACGGCGTCGCTGCGGCGCGCGGGGTTTCACGCGGCGGGGCGCGGATGGACGCGCAGTGGCTTGGAGAGCGGGAGAGCTGGGCGAGTCGGACGTGCCAAAGGAGCTTTCACACAGCTGGCCTGTCCCAAAAAATCAAAAACAAACATGCGTTATAAACTAAACACAACCATGCGATGCTGCACTACAAAGAGGCATACCATTGGGTGTCGCGTGGAACAGACCTCACAAAGAAACGTCCCAATTTGGACGGTTCGGAGCATCGACTTTTTTCGTCTTTCCAGTGCGTGGTTGGGCGCTACGGGGGGATCACCCGCGCGCCTTACATCCCCTGCCTGCCGAAAAAACTCTCTAGGTGATGGTTTCGGAGATGTTTATGTTCAACCCTTACTTGGGGATGAAGAAGGACCCTCTGACTCAGATTTTTCTTTCGTGGGTTGAAAACACCAACCAGCTCTATAGAATCTGAGAGCTTGAGCTCAAAATGACCCTCGGATTTGATTCCTAAGGGTCCAGGACCATCCGAATCGGATGGTCTTGGAGGTGAGAAAGTGCTTCCTGAGAATGGTCGAACTGGGGCCAAAGGACATCCGATTCGGATGGTCCTGGACCCTTAGGGTATAGAGAACTTGTTTCCAGCACTGCAGGAGGTTGATATGTGATTCTATAGTGGGGCAACCTGTCCTCGGAACCTGGTTTTTCGT